AAGGGCTCTATTCATACATATTTTGTTAACAATTGGTATGAAATTCTCTCACTTTGCAGTCCTTGTTTGGCAGCTGCTGTGTGTTTTATCAGCACATGGTGTCTTCAAGTTCCTGCTCCTGCAGGGAGAATAACAGCCTGGCCATGGTGCCTTCACTTTGCTCCACCCTCCATTCAGTTTATCTCAGCATATGCCAAGGTCACAGGGTTGCCTGGGGAACTATCATGGGATTGATTCTGTGCATGTTAGCCACATTCTATCCTGGAAGTAAATAATTAATTTCCTTAATATAGTAACATAACTTTGAGGATTTGGAGGGATGTGTGGGGCTGGTCACTGATTTTCCCCATTATTCCATATAATCCACCCCGTGACTATCATCACTCAAGCTACATAATATTTAGTCTGATTTAGGAACACCTTGTGCATATACACTCAATGGAGGAAGTCAATAAAACAGTCACTTTACAGTAATCCAGATTCTAATATACAATGCAATCGTTAGAATAAAGAGCAAAACAGTTAATGTCAGTAGAGTAACAGCAGGGTGAAGCATTCTGTCGAGAATTCCTGTAGGTGAACATCCAGGAAGAGTTTCCCACTACCGGTGTTCTGCACCTCTCTTGACTCATTCCGACATGTGATGTATTTCTTCTGCAACATGATGGTCAGTAATTTGTCTTTTGTCTCAAACTTGCTTCAGCAGTTGTTTCAGGTCTTCATGTAGCAGCAGTTTTCATCTTAAGGTGAGATTCATCCCAGTGGGGGTAGGTAGTAGGTCCTGAATTAGCAGATAGATAGACCTCATTAATTAATAAGACAGGACAGGAGCTGAGTAAGTGAAATCACATCCTATAAGCTCAACAAAATTACAAGCATAAATTTTTGAGTCATTATCTGTATCCACAGTAACATTATCTATGCGTATAAAGTCGCAAAGAGTTCTCATGCAAGCATATCCTTTGCCAATATATACAAGTACAGTTTCAGAGATTTAATTGGGATATATTTCAAAATTGCAAATGTTCTGTTCAGTGTCAAGGCAAATGGCTTGACCTTTGATGGTGTTACTCTCACAAATAATCTCTTGTTCTTTTCCATGACTGTGTTTAGGGTGTGTGGGGAGCATGGCTCCTGTGCTGTTATGGCTCAGTGGGGGATGCAAAAGCCTTGCAGCAGAGGCTTTTGGGGCAGCTGTGTTGGGAATGCGTTTTGGGGTTTCTGTTTTGTGTCACTTGTGAATTGGCTCGCTTAGTTTTTATTTTCAAGTTTCTCTGCCTACCAGCTTCTGTTTTTCTTATCTCATGCTCTGATATTATTTGTATATATGAGTTAAGGCATGTTTTCCTTTGTTTCTTATTGACAAACATTTTTAGGTTCTTAGTTTGTCGGTCTCCCCCCCCCCCCCACCTTTTTCCATAACACCTGCAGCCTTGATGGTGAAAGAGTTTTTCCTCTCTCTGCAAATAACTTGCAGAATGGTTTTGGGGGCATCTGTCATCCCCCTCGCTCTCTGAGTTATTTGTCCTCAGTGTGTTGATCTTTATAAATAAATGTTTAAATGTTGTGAAGGATTTTTCATCAACTATTTATGCAATGATTGTCATTTCTAGATTTTGTTTTGTGGGGGGTTTGTTGTTGTTTGTTTTGAATTTCTTGTAGAAATTAGGCAACATTAAGTGTGTGGGAATCAGGAGCTGATGGGAATGCTTGTCTTTGACAACCTGGTCCATTCATATCTAGAAAGTGAAAATGGGCAGAGTCCCAAGTGCAAGTTGTCACTGCTTCCTGGGAAGCTTCCAGCGGTAAGAGGTACCAGTGGCTGCTGATATAGTGAAAATGGGGGTTTCCCCTGAGGTTTGGGGGTGGTGATGTCTTTTTTTTTTTTTAAATTTAACTGAATTTCTTAATGTGCATGTTGATGCTGTAAATTGTCACTCTTGTTTTTTTGTTTTTGTTTTGTTTTGTTTTGTTCATTTTTGTGTGAATTACATTGGGATTTGTGGTCTTTTCTGCTAGTTTGTTGCAGGCTGCCTGTGTAGTAGAGAACTTACAGATGTCTTAAATGGTGTGCGTGGTACCTAGTGAGCTGCTTGGTAGAGTTTAAATCTATTATGTCAGATCACTTACCATTTTTCAGTCCTTTTCTGTCTCACCTTTTGAGTCTATTCCTGATATACCAGTTTTGGCTTTAGGCACCTTCTACTGCATGCCTTCTGTAGGTCAGGAAATACCCATATTGTCTGAAGAGCAGAGTATCTCTTCTGATGTTTTCCTATGGGTGGACATGAAATGCAAAGATAACTGTCTTGCAATCATATATTCTAATGATTTTTTTGTTTTGAATGTGTGTATGCACAGTTGTGTGGGATAGGTATATGCAGTGCTGATGTGTTTTTTTTCACCTGAGAGGTAGTGGGAATAATGGCAATCCTTAGACCCTGTTCTCATGTAGATTTGGTTATATTTTTTCTGGTTTATATAGGGGAAAATTCTAGTGTGTCAATTCCAGTTCATATCCACTGAATCCTGTTCAGATCTCTTCTCCAAATCTGCTTTTTGTGCCATTTTCCTCAGATGCAGATGGGAGTGCTGCTTTTGAGTAACCTGCAAAGACTTTTAATAGGAATTTGGATGTGTTTTGTTAAGTGATTCATGCTGGAGTTGATGAGGGGGAATTACCTGGGAAGGAAAGGATGATGAAATATGGCACCGTTTCAAGTTACAGAAAGCACCCGTGATACTAAATCTTTGTCAGATTACTTCATGTTCAGTGATGGAGGATTAGGTGTAGGAGACAGGGGTGCTGCTCAGAAATCATAGAATGGCTTGGGTTGAAAAGGACCTTAGGATCATCTAGTACCAACCCCTCTGCCATGGGCAGGGACACCTCACACTAGATCATGTCACTCAAGGCTCTGTCCAACCTGGCCTTGAACACTGCCAGGGATGGAGCATTCACCCCTTTTTAGGCAACCTGTTCCAGTGCCTCACCACCCTCACAGTAAAGAACTTCTTCCTTATATCTAACCTGAACTTCCCCTGTTTAAGTTGAAACCCAGTTCCCCTTGTCTTATCACTACAGTCCCTGATGAAGAGTCCCTCTCCGGCATACTTTTAGGCCCCCTTCAGATACTGGAAGGCTGCTATGAGGTCTCCACACAGCCTTCTCTTCTCCAGGCTGAACAGCCCCAACTTTCTCAGCCTGTCTTCATATGGGAGGTGCTCAAGCCCCCTTATCATCATGGCCCTCCTCTGTATGTATGCAAATGCAGCAAGGTGGAAGGTGCTGTCAGCTCTGAAAAAGCATTTGAGATGCTGGGGAATTTGTAGAGGCAGGTATGAGGAAGGATGCTTTTCCAGTATTGAAGACTCTCTGGAACTGGACACATTAGGGGTTAAAGCATTAACTCTTGATGGATTGGAGGTGGTAAGGAGTGAGCCATGAGAATTAGGAGGAAAAACACTTAGTAGTTTTTCCTAGAGTACCAGTCCCACTTTCCTGGGTTCAGCAGTAGCAGTCATTTTTTCTCCTTCTTAGTAGCTGGTGCAGTGCTGTGTTTTTGACTTTCAGCCTGGGAACAGCGCTGATAACACCAATGTTTTTAGTTGCTGCTCAGTAATGTTTACTCTGACCAAGGACTTTGTGAGTCTCATGCTCTGCCAGGGAGGAGGGGAAGCCGGGAGGAAGCAGAGACAGGACACCTGACCCAAACTAGCCAAAGAGGTATTTCATACCACAGCACATCATGCCCAGTATATAAACTGGGGGCAGTTATCCGGAAGGGCTAGTTCACTGTTCGGGTTGGTCTGGGTATCGGATGGCAGGTGGTGAGTGGTTGTATTCTCTTCCCTTGTTATTTCCCATATCATTATTATTATTGGTGGTAGCAGTAGTGGTTTTGTGTTATACCTTAGTTACTGGACTGTTCTTATCTCAATCTGTGGGAGTTATATTCTTTTGATTCTCCTCCCCATCCCTCCGGGAGAGGCGGGGAGGAAGGGGGGAAGTGAGCAAGCAGCTGCGTGGTTCTGAGTTACCAGCTGGGCTTAAACCATAACACCCACATGTGGAGTTCACCAGGAGAGGGAAGGGCAAGTTTTTCATTTTTTGCCCAAACTGAAGACAAAATTCTGCTCTGGTTTTGCAGGCATGTCCTGTCATCTTGAAGGGTGAGCTTTCTAGAGTGAGGACTGTCTTACCTTCTTGTAGAGGACCTAGAAGAATGTTCTTAGGCAGTGTTCTCCAACTTTTGATCACACACCCCATCAGTAAAATTTTGTGAACACTCTGAATAAATTTTTATTAATAAATTTGAGACATATACTACTGTATAAAACATACCTGAAAAAAAATTAAAAAGGATAAGAGAAAGGTTAAACGCTATTTTTTTTTTTTTAATTTTATTTATTAATGGTACCTGAAACATTTTCTTTATGCACCCTAATGGATTGTCTTGCGCACCCCACTTTGGAGACTACTGATCTGAGGTCTCCTGTAATGTAGTTTAATTACTTTTTCCATTTCTTTTTATGTTTGTGCTGTTTTCCTAGCTGATGCTTTAACTTTTAGAAAAGAGGGTGTAGGACAAGGGTAAAACCTTTAGATTACATCCATGTTGTGATTACGGTCCTGGCCTGACCCCAGGTCTTTGGCCTCTGATGGGTCTCTTGTTCTTCCAGGTACAGTCTTGCTGAAATATGACAGCTCAGAGCTGAGGGTTGGGAGGGGAAAACGTTTAGTTGCTGTCTTTAACTTACTATTAAGAGATTAAGTATTTGTATGTGATATTAAAAATGTCTATAAATTAAGTATATTTTGAAGTTTAGGATCCAGGTAAATCTTCAGCTCCCCTGGAATCAATAAGGTCAGCTTCTACTCAAGCTTCCTTTAGTTCTTGCTTTTTAGATTTTCTTATATGTATAATATGGGGTTCATAAGAGCTGTCCAGCTCTGTTACGGTTTCAACTATCAAAAAACAATGTTGTCTCTTTCTAAGGATTACTATGGAATTACATTCCCTGCTCCTGCAACCTTGACAGGCAGAGATGGAAGCCTTGCTAACAACCCATACTCAGGTGAGTGCTTTTTAAAGATGAGGATGATGAGATGTGCTAGTCATCCTGCCATTTCTGAAAGAGCAGTTGTTTTTCCCTTATGTAAGCAGTTAAACCCATCAGTCCAAACTAGACAGACAGAAGTGAGCATCTCCCTCTCAACCCTGACACTGTGGTTTTTTTCTTTTTATTTTTTTATTTTTTTTAAACCTTCATGGGTTTGGTCAGTAATTCATATGCAACTTCTGGAAGTTGGGTAGCCTTTGAGAATAAGTGCAAAATTGTTACTAACGTAAACAGCTGTGAACCCAGCAACCGTTTGCTCTTTGGCTTTTTACCATACTTCTGCTTTTAACATGTTTTATTGCAATGATCTGATAGCAATGAATCTGCTCAGACTGTGTGAGATAGGTAAGTATTGGTTATCTCTACTTCATCAGTGGATTAGGCATGGCACAGAGTTTTGTGCCATGAACAGAGACCAGGAGAGTTCTTCCCATGAACAACTGCAGCCTTTGAAGTGTAGGAAGTGCTCTCTTCTGTAGCTGTCTACTTGTATTCAGAGGATTTGAATCCTCCAATTTTGGGGTGCCTTTGATAGCTTTTCTGATTAGTTTGTTCTTTTGCAGGTGACATAACAAAATTTGGACACGGGGATTCTGCCTCCCCTGCTCCTACTACTACACTCACCCAGCCGCAGCAGAACCAGACGCAGACTCACCACACAACTCAGCAGCCCTTCCTCAACCCAACCCTGCCCCCGGGGTACAGCTACACTGGGTTACCTTATTATGCTGGTGTGCCCGGTGTACCCAATGCATTCCATTATGGGCCAACCATGTTTGTAAGTGTGACAGCCTAAGCTGTAACTCTCCTGACCTTGAAAGTTTCCAGGCATGGCATATCTACCACCTCTCTGGGCAATCTGTTTGTCCTGGGTTCAACAGTAGCAGTCATTTTTCTCCTTCTTAGTAGCCGGTGTAGTGATGTGTTTTTGACTTTCACCCTGGGAACAATGCTGATAACACCGATGTTTTTAGTCGTTGCTAAGTAATGTTTACTCTGACCGAGGACTTTCTGAGTCTCATGCTCTGCCAGGGAGGAGGGGAAGCCGGGAGGAAGCAGAGACAGGACACCTGACCCAAACTAGCCAAAGAGGTATTTCATACCACAGCACATCATGCCCAGTATATAAACTGGGGGCAGTTACCTGGAAGGAATAGATCATTGTTCGGGTTGGTCTGGGTATCGGTTGGCAGGTGGTGAGCGGTTGTATTCTCTTCCCTTGTTATTTCCCTTATCATTATTATTATTGATGGTAGCAGTAGTGGTTTTGTGTTATACCTTAGTTACTGGACTGTTCTTATCTCAATCTGTGGGAGTTATATTCTTTTGATTCTCCTCCCCATCCCTCCGGGAGTGGGGGGAGGAAGGGGGGGGGAGTGAGCAAGTGGCTGCGTGGTTCTGAGTTACCAGCTGGGCTTAAATCACAACACTGTTCCAGTGTCTCACAATTCTCATAAAGTTTCTTCCTTATGTCCAATCTAGATCTACCCTCTTTGAGTTTAAAATCCTTGTCCCTTGTCCTGTCACTACAGGCCCTGGTAAAAATTACGTATCTTTCTTATAAGCCTTCTTTAAGTCTTGAAAGGCTGCTATAAGGTCTCCCCAGAGCCTTCTCTTCTCCAGGCTGAACAACCTCAATTCAGACTTTTCTCATAGGTGTTCCAACCCTCTGATCATTTTCATGGGCCTCCTCTGGACCTCCTCTAACAGGTCCATGTTTGTCTTGTGCTGAGGGTCTGTCGTGGTTTAAACCCTAGGCAGACATTATCCACCCCTTATTCCATACCATTCACGTCATGCTCAGATCCCACATTTTCAATACACCATCCCTCTCCCACATATATACATCTATATACACACAGACCAAGAGAAAGAGATCATTTTTTTAGTGCATGGACCAATCCCTATAATGCTGCTGAGTCCATTTGGTCCATGATGTCAGGTTCCATCTCTTGTAACAATCTTTCAGGGCAGGAAAGGCTGTGTGCAGTATTGGATTGTTGCCTGCTGATGCTGGTCGTTCCTTTACTGCAGAACTCATCTGGTTCTATCAAAGCTCATTCTCTGTTGGGATGATGGTTGGAAGGAAGTCAGGGCTAGTCGCTGGTGACCTGGAGACATCTAGTTGATGGGCTATAAAAGTATTACACAGCAGGCAACAGCATACAATTAAGTTCATTGGCTGTTTTCCCCTAAAATCAAATCCCCTTGAGGTATACATCGGACTTCCCCATCTTCCCGCATTACCCACCAAGTATATCCAGGTCCCTGAGCAAAAACAATCCCATGAGTGGGTTTGCCTTTACCTGAAGCAGGAATAACCCAGACTGTCTTCCCCAGCAAATTCTTCATATGCACCACGGGAACTTTGTCCCCCTCTACAATATGTAAAAGTTCTGACTGGGCTGGGCCAGTGTTGACCAACCAGGTGGCCTTTGGTAAGTGTGTATCCCAATGCTTGGAAGTTCCCCCACCCATTGCTCTCAGTGTAGTTTTTAACAGCCCATTTTACCGTTCGATTTTCCCAGAGGCTGGTGCGTGCTAGGGGATGTGATATACCCACTCAATGCCATGCTCTTTGGACGAAATATCTATAAGGTTATTCTGGAAATGAGTCCCATTGTCTGACTCAATTCTCTCTGGGGTGCCGTGTTGCCACAAAATCTGTTTCTCAAGGCCCAGGATAGTGTTCCGGGCAGTGGCATGGAGCACAGCATATGTTTCCAGCCACCCGGTGGTTGCTTCCACCATGGTAAGCACATGGCGCTTGCCTTGGCAGGTTGTTGGCAGTGTGATATAGTCAATCTGCCAGGCCTCCCCATATTTATACTTCAACCATCGTACTCCATACCAAAGAAGCTTTAACTGTTTGGCTTGTTTAATTGCAGCACATGTTTCACACTCATGAATAACCTGGGATATAGTGTCCATTGTTAAGTCCACCCCTCGATCACGGGCCCATCTATATGTTGCATCTCTGCCCTGATGGCCTGAAGCATCATGGGCCCACCGGGCCAAAAATAATTCACCTTTATGTTGCCAATCTAAGTCCATCTGAGCCACTTCAATCTTAGCCGCTTTATCCACTTGTTGGTTGTTCTGGTGTTCCTCAGTGGCCCGACTCTTGGGTACATGGGCATCTACATGACGTACCTTCACCACCAGGTTCTGCACCCGGGCAGCAATATCTTGCCACAGTGCAGCAGCCCAGGTGGGTTTACCTCTGCGTTGCCAGTTGCTCTGCTTCCATTGCTTCAACCACCCCCACAGGGCATTTGCCACCATCCATGAGTCAGTATAGAGATAAAGTACTGGCCACTTTTCTCGTTCAGCATTGTCCAGGGCCAGATGGATGGCTTTCACCTGGGCAAACTGACTCGATTCACCCTCTCCTTCAGCAGTTTCTGCAACTTGTCGTCCAGGACTCCATACAGCTGCCTTCCATCTCCGATGCTTTCCCACAATACGGCAAGAGCCATCAGTAAACAGAGCATACTGCTTTTCACTTTCTGACAGTTTATTATATGGTGGGGCCTCTTCAGAGAACATCACCTCCTCCTCTGGTGACATTCCGAAATCTTTGCCCTCTGGCCAGTCCATGATGACTTCTAGAATACCTGGACGACTGAGATTTCCTATTCGAGTTTGTTGTGTAATTAATGCAGCCCATTTACTCCATGTAGCATCAGTTGCATGATGTGTAGAGGAGACCCTGCCTTTCAACATCCAGCCCAGCACGGGCAACCGGGGTGCCAGGAGGAGCTGTGCTTCAGTGCCAATCACTTCCGAAGCAGCTCAAACCCCTTCATTTGCTGCTAGTATCTCTTTCTCAGTTGGGGTATAGCTGGCCTCAGATCCTTTATATCCCCGACTCCAAAAGCTGAGGGTTTGACCTCGAGTCTCCCCTGGAGCTTTCTGCCAGAGGCTCCAGGTAGGACCGTTCTCCCCCGCTGCAGTGACAGTACATTTTTTACATCTGGCCCGGTCCGGACTGGTCCAAGGGCTACTGCATGAACTGTCTCACGTTTCATTTGCTCAAAGGCTTGTTGCTCAGGGCCCCGTTTAAAATCATTCTTCTTCCGGGTCACATGATAGAGAGGGCTTACAATCGAACTGTAATTTGGGATGTGCATTCTCCAGAACCCCACTGCACCCAAGAAAGCTTGCGTTTCTTTCTTATCAGTTGGTGGAGACATTGCTGTTATCTTGTTGATCACGTCTGTGGGGATCTGTCTACGTCCATCTTGCCATTTTATTCCCAAAAATTGAATCTCCTGTGCAGGTCCCTTGACCTTACTCCGTTTTATGGCAAAACCGGCTTTCAGCAGGATTTGGATTATTTTCCTCCCTTTCTCAAAGACTTCTTCCGCTGTATCACCCCACACAATAATGTCATCAATGTATTGCAGATGTTCTGGAGCTTGCCCCTGTTCCAGTACAGTCTGGATCAGTCCGTGGCAAATGGTAGGGCTGTGTTTCCACCCCTGGGGCAGTCGGTTCCAAGTGAACTGGAAACCCCTCCAAGTAAAAGCAAACTGTGGCCTGCACTCTGCTGCCAAAGGAATTGAGAAAAATGCATTGGCAATATCAATCGTGGCATACCACTTGGCTGCCTTTGACTCTAGTTCATACTGAAGTTCTAGCATGTCCGGTACGGCAGCACTCAATAGTGGTGTGACTTTATTCAGGCCATGATAGTCTACTGTTAGTCTCCATTCTCCATTAGACTTTCGCACTGGCCACATGGGGCTATTAAAGGGCGAGCGGGTCCTACTGATCACCCCCTGACTCTCCAGTCTACGGATCAGCTGATGGATGGGAATCAGGGAGTCTCGGTTGGTGTCATATTGCCGCTGGTGCATTGTTGTGGTCACAATTAGCACTTGTTGTTTTTCGACTTTCAGTAACCCCACAGCAGAGGGATCTTCTGAGAGACCAGGCAAGGTGGACAGCTGCTCAATTTCCTCAGTCTCCAAAGCAGCAATACCAAAAGCCCACCGGTACCCTTTTGGGTCTTTGAAGTACCCTCTCTTGAGGTAGTCTATGCCAAGGATGCATGGAGCCTCTGACCAGTCACAATGGGGTGCTTTTCCACTTCCTCCCAGTCAGGCTGATTTCAGCCTCCAGCACAGTCAACTCTTGGGATCCTCCTGTCACTCCAGAAATATAGATGGGTTCCACCCCTTGACAGCTTGATGGCATCAGGGTACACTGCCTCGGTGTCTAGTAGAGCCTTATACTTCTGTGGGACTGATGTGCCAGGCCATCTGATCCACACAATCCAGTAAATCCGATTGTCCCCTACATCCCCCTGGCTGGAGGCAGGGCCCCTGTAATGGTCATCACAGCGTTGGACACTTAAGTCGTGGTAAAAGGGATTAGTCTTCGTTATCACAGGAGCTGAAGTAAAATCAGCTCTTCCACTCCCATCTGGGAAACTGCTCACCAGAGACTGAAGCCGTAGCTCTCATGGGACGATCAGTCTTGGCCCTTGCTCGCCTCTTCAATTCACTCACCTGTTCTTCCAAAGCTGAGGTTTTCCATCCCACTTTGTCATGTCTTCTCCGTGATCCAGCAGGTAAAACCATAGGGTACCCCGTGGGGTATACCTCTTGTATCTCCTCTCTCGAACAATAGGATGCCTTTTGTTAATAGCTGGGATGTGTGTTGGTACACATGGGGAGCTGGATAAGTCAGATAGATCGTCCCTCAATTGTTTGAGGTCCTGGGACAGTTTTTCCACAGCTGAGATGATGGAAGGGGTGAGATTGTCTTCGAACTCTCGGAGTTTATGAACCATTTCATCCACTGTTAGTGGTACTATGTCATTCCAGGTTACTGTTGCCAATGAATGGGCATATGATGACGGTGCATTCCGTGTAAGTTTTCGCCGCATGGGTCGTGTACATTCAACTTCATCTGGATCTATGCGTATATCCCCATTATTCAGATTGATGTGATAGATCATCTCTGCGATGGCCGATTCCCTCAGAGACTGGATGCCTTTGTCTATAGTAGTCCACTTGGCCGAACGACTCATAACATCATCCTTGTATGGAAACCTTTCTTTCACAGCTGCCAAGAGCCGCCTCCAAAGACTGAGGGACTTTTTCTCTCTTGCAATTGCTTTATCAATTCCCCCTTCTCTAGCAAGTGATCCCAGCTGCTTGGCTTCTGTACCTTCTAGTTTGTGACCATCGGCCCCATTGTTCCAGCATCGGAGTAACCAGGTGATGATGTGCTCCCCTGGTTGACGGGTAAAATCTTTTCACATATTCCGTAGCTCGGTTGAGGTCCGAGGTCGAGAAGTTACCTCTTCTTCTTCTTCTTCTTCGTCATGTGATGATGACTCCTGATCAGATTCTAGACCGGGTGGTGAATACATTGTTTCTTCATCTTGCTTCACCCTTCTTGCTTGTTTTTTGCTTGTACTTTTGCGTACAGGGGTAAATGATATTTGTACGAATTGGTCCTCTGGTTTAGCTGCAGTGATTATCACTGTGGTTTGAGTAGCAACTGTACTTGTTGCTCGGGGTGGTGTAGCTGCTGTGCTTGGAGCGGGGGTACCCACACTGTTGAAGTTTGAGCAGCTGCTGTACTTGCCACTGGGGTAGCTGCGCTGTTCATTGCAGCCAAAGTTTGAGTAGCGACTGTACTTGTCGCTGGGGGTGGTGAAGCTGCTGTGCTTGGAGCTGGAGTAGCGTTGACTGTTGCTTTGCCCTCAGATCCATCGACATTCTTTTCCTTTTGAAGGTGCTGGATAGTGTTGAACAAGGCCCTGTAAGCATAGGCCAAGCCCCAGCACATTCCCATGATTTGTCCATCTCTGGTATGGCCAGAGTGACCACACACCTCATTTAAGTGTTTTCCTAATTCTTCTGGATTTTGCAGTTGTTCGGTAGTGAAATTCCAAAGTACTGGAGGGGCCCACTGACCTAGGTACTTGCCCATACTATCCCACACACCCTGCCACTCATGGCTGTCCAGCCTCAGGGAAAATCTCTTGGTCCTCCTACATTGTCGTTTGACCCCAGACAAGACCCAAACCTGACTCTGCTTAACTCTTGAAATCAGTCGTGGGCAAAACACACTCTGTATGCGTGCTAGCATGGTGATTCCCATCACCATCAGCAAACAAGTCTCAACAGCATTAAAAGGCCATTCAAAAACTTCAAAACTCTCAAATGTAAATGGTCTTGGGGGAGGACTGGGAGGGTAAAAGGATGTCTCCTTCACAGGTTGAGCACCTGAGAAGGAGAAAAAAGATGTGTAATTGCTAAGCACTTCTATTATATACCTCCCAAAGTATAAAGGTGGTGACCACACTGGGAACATAAGCCAGATCAGTTTCATGATCAATGATTCTATTGTATTACAAGTCATTACCATAAAGTACAATGGGACAAAAACCTTAGCCCAAGCCCCACACTTGAGGAACATTAATACAGCAAATACCGGATGGACGTAAGATATGATATACTGAAACTGTGAGATCAAGAGGAACAACCTTGAGAGCCAATAAATCAGCATTGTGATGAGTGACTATCAATCCAGTCAGATCTGTTGTTATCTCAACCCCTCGTGCCAGAATGGTGATCCCCATCACAATCAGCAGGCAGGTCCCAAGGGTACCCAAAGGCCATTCAAAACCTTCAGAACTCTCAAATGATGCTGTAAACAGTCTGGTGGAGGAGCTGGGAGCTTAAGGGAATGTCTCCCTCACGGGTTGACCACCCGAGGAGGAAAAAAAAAAAAGTATAATTGTTAAACACTTCTATTATATACTTCCCAAGGTATAGAGGTGGTGATCACACTGGGAACGCAAGCTAGATCAGTTTCATGGTCAATGATTTTATTGTATTACAAGTCATTACCATAAAGTACAATGACACAAGAACCTTAGCTCAAGGCCCCCAACTGATAAACACTAACACAGCAAATTCTGGCTCTAAGTAAGGTATGACATGCTGGAACTGTGAGATCAAGAGCAACAACTTTGAGAGCCAGTAAATCAGCATTGTGACGAGTGACTATTAATCCGGACAGATCTGTCGTTATCTCAACCCCTCATGCCCCACGTTGGGTGCCAAAAGAACTGTCATGTTTTAAACCCTAGCCAGACAGCTTGTTCACTCACTCCCAGTGAGTGGTGCTGGGCTGAGAGCAATCGAAGACCCCCTCCCCCCTGCGGCTCTCTTCTTCCCCACTCCCGGAGGAACGGGGAGGAGGATCGAAAGAGTTCAACTCCTATGGGTTGAGACAAGAACAGTCCAGCAACCAATGTACAACACAAATCACCACCGCTACCACCACCGACAACAATGATAAGAGAAAATAACAAGGGAAGAGAATACGATACCACCGGCCAAGAAACGAGTCCCACCCGGAAGCCCGTGTCCTTCCGGGTAACTCCCAGTTACCCCCCACCCCGGGCATGAAGTGCTGTGGTATGGAATACCTCTTTGGATAGCCTGGGTCAGGTGCCCCATCTCTGCTTCCTCACAGCTTCCCCTCCTCCCTGGCAGAGCATGAGCCTCACAAAGTCCTTGGTCAGGGTAAACATCACTTAGCAACAACCGAAAACATCAGTATCACCAGCACTGTTCCCAGGCTGGAAGTCAAAACACAGCACTGCACCAGCTACCACAAAGGAGAAACATGACTGCTACTGCTGAACCAAGGACAGGGTCCCAGAACTGGATATGGTACTCCAGGTGTGGTCTCGTGACAGTAGCGTAGTCATCTTCCCCAGTCTGCAAGGGTTCTAAAAAAATGTGCAAGCATTAGAAAATAGCTGCAGTCTCTTCCCCGAGAAAACAGGAAATTTAAAAGGCCAGAACTCATGGACTCCTGCACAGATTACTGTAAATAGGAGACAGCTACGGCTCATGGACTAAGTGTTCCTGAAAGCCTGTAGCAGCCTCTGCAGAGTCAGAAAGCTGAGTCAGTGAGCTGAATGCCTAGGAAGTCCTTTTGAGGATGGGGGAGACCCTATTAAGTCAGAGAGCAGGGCTGGTATTCTCAGGAGGGAGGATATTACTTGGGAACAAGTGATGCTCTAGGCAGAAGGGTAAATGAGTCTCTTTTAGGGCCCTGTAGGACTGTGTTTTATGAAACAGCTTTAGAAAAGAGTTGGTGTGTCACTTGATTCTGGAGGGATGGCACTGTGGTTGCTCCTTCTTGGGTTTGTGGGTGAGAATTTTCTGTTTACAGTCAGTATATGAAAGAAATACGCAACCTGTTCTGAAACATGGTTACACTGCAGTCAGAGGTGTGGGTCTGGCAGAAAACTTGAGGCTCATATAAAGCCACTACAGCAAATTACTGCTGGAAGCATGAGTGCCGTGTTCCATGCTATCCTACTGCTTCCAACTCTGGATTAAATTTCCCACGTGAGGTGGAGGTGCCTTCCCCCTTAGATGGCAGAGGGAGCTTGTGTTTTACGTGCTGTTCCCCATTTACCAGGGCCTTTTGTTCCCTCCCTTTGTCCAGGTACCTCCAGCATCTGCAAAACAGCATGGAGTCAACCTGAACACCCCATCGACTCCTTTTCAGCAAGTGAGTGGCTATGGACAGCACGGCTACGGGGCAGGTATGCCTACCACTGCTCTTCTCACGAGTGCCTGCCCAGCTGCTTGTACACTCTAACACCTTGTCTTGTACACACTGGCAGGCTATGATGAATTAACACAGGGAACGGCTCCTGGAGATTACAGCAAAGGAGGATACAGTGGGTCATCTCAAGCACAAAACAAATCTGCTGGCACTGGACCAGGGAAAGGTAACATGAGACTTGAGGTTGATATTGAGTGGGATTTAGTAGGGTCAATTCCCAGTGCTGTGCAATGAACACAGCAGCCAGATCTAAACAGGGTCATGATCCAAGCTGTTTCTCCATCTTCTGTATACAAAATACTTTTTTTTTAATGGCCCAAGTGTTCTTTCAAAACCTCACAGCTGAACTTTGTGTAAGGATTTGTGGCTGATGCGCAGCTTTGTCCACAATTATACTGGGGAGAAATGGTGAGCTGTTTTCTCTGCCAAATTTTCCTTGCTGAAGAATATAGTGGTCCTGCAACAGTGCTGTGTTTTTGAAGCCTAAGCATCTAGATGCTGCTGCTGAAATGGTCCTCTGCCAAATGAAGGCTATAGTTTGAATTTCTTGACAGGTAATTGAGATAGCTGTCTGTTCACATATCTCTGGGCTGTTGTTTCAGCTGCTGTGTGTACACCCTGTAACTCATCACATTCTTGTGCCTAGAAGTATAAAGTACAATATAATACTACTACTACTAAGGGAAATAACAAGGGGAGAGAATATAAAACTACGAGGGGAAAGGAAAAAAGTAAACCACTAACCAGCAGCAATGCACAGTACAATTGCTCACCACCTGCTGACCGATACCCAGCATGACCTGAGCAGCAATAGATCCCCTCTGGGTAACTCCCCCTCAGTTTATATACTGGACATGACATGCTGTGGTATGGAATACCACTTTGGCTAGTTTGGGTTAGGTGTTATGTCTCTGCTCCGTCCTGGCAGAGCATGAGTCAGTTGCTGAGGGGTCAATTACTGAGGTGACTAGCTCAAGTGAGGATGCCTTCAACACCTGAGCGGGGGGAAGCTTAGCATCCAGGAGCCTCAACTCAGAGTGGCAAGAGCCACTTGGGGAGCCTCAAGTCCTCACAGGACTTGCCCAGGAGCCAGCAGCTCAGCTGATGTGAGCAGCTGACTCACAGGGGGTGGTGCCAGGAGGGATGGTACCAGCCCTGACTGGTTAAAAACCTGCCCCAGGGAGCTCGAGTGACCAGGAGTGCGGTGAAAAAGGGCTGGTGGAGGCAGTTTGCGCAGGCAGGCGAGCAGGATGGTGAGGACTCATCTTATGACCAGAGCCCAGTCTGGGAGCTCTGCTCTGGCTGTCCTGGCAGTGGCCAGCCTAGGCACCCAGACAGAGCCGATGAGAGGGGAGGCTGCAGTGCAGAACTTGGTGTAGAGAGTGCCTGCACTGCTCTCCTGAGGCGAGGGTGTACAATGGGCAGGGCTGCACTTCGTGTGCCCTGGTGGATGTCCTTCTACAGCAGGTGGCTGAGCTGTGGAACGCTGTCAATAGGCTGAAAGATGTCAGGAAAGCTTAGAGGAAACAGGACTGCTTGCTCCAGGCCCAAACTGTGCAGGGGCCTCAACCATCCACTGTAGCTCATGGAGGAAAGAAAGAGGCCGTTAACCCAGGAAGCTGGGAAATAGTAACAAACAAAAAAAGGAGGAAGAGGACAATTAAAAGCTCCTAAATCTGTTGTCCCCACCCAGAACAGCTTTGCTGTTCTGCAGGGGGCTAATGAGGAAACACACTAGCACCAGGAACAAATAGCTGATGCACTGGTGAAAAAGATCACTACTGGTGCTGTCAGGAAAAAGCGGTGGGTCATAGTAGTAGGGGACTCTACTTTGAAAGGAACAGAAGAACCCATCTGTTGGCCTGACCCCGTCTCAAGGGAGGTGTGTTGCCTATCAAGGGCATGGATCAGGGATGTTGCAGAGAGGCTGCCTGGTCTAGTAAATCCCACTGACTATTACCCACTTCTAGTCGTCCATGTGGGTGCTAGTGATATAGACAGCAGTAGCCCAGAGAACATAAAGAAGGACTACAGAGCCCTGGGGGAGGTGGCTAGGGGCTCTGGAGCTCAGATAGTCTTTTCATCAATTGTCCAGGATAAAGGGGAGGACCTTAAAAAAGCTAGGAGGATTGGCCAGGTTAATAACTGGTTAAAAGGGTGGTGTCATAGTCAGGGGTTTGGGTATCTAGAACATGGGACTCAATTTAGTAGGCCAAGTCTACTGGGGGCTGGTGGAGCTGGTCTGACAATGAAGGGAAAGAGTGGTTTTGGTAGGAGGCTTGCCAGACTGGTCAAGGAAGCTTTAAACTAGATGTGTTGGGGGAGGGGAGCATCATTCCATCCCAGCACTTCCAGTCAGTTGCCAGCACCTGTAATAAATGCTCGGAGCGATGTAGAGATATTCCAGCTGCTCCAGCCAATGAACCGGCTTCATTTGGAGCTCAGCTCACATGCCTCTATACAAACACCCGTAGCATGGGGAACAAACAAGAGGAATTAGACATGTGTGCATGTCTATGGGGGTATGATATAGGAGGCATCAGAAACATGGTGGGATGGCTCCTATGACTGGAGTGTTGGGATGGGAGGTTACAGGCTCTTTAGAAAAGACAGGCCTGGCAGGCGGGGAGGGGGAGTTGCCCTTTATGTTAGGGATAGGCTGGAGAGTATGGAACTCTGTCTGGGGACAGGTGATCAGTCAACAGAGAGTTTGTGGGTCAGGGTTAAAGGGAGAACAGTGATAGGAGACATTACTGTGTGGATCTGTTACAGACCACCTGATCAAGGGGTGAATGAAGCGCTCTATAGACAGATAGGAAAAGCCTCACACTCGCAGGGTCTTGTTCTCATAGGGGACTTCAACTATCCTGATGTCTGTTGGAGGGAGGGTATGGCCCGGCACAAGCAATCCAGCAGATTCCTTGATTGTGTAGAAGATAACTTCCTTCTGCAAGTAATAGAGGAGACAACAAGGAGAGGTGCCATGCTTGACTTCATGCTCACCAACAGGGAAGGGCTCATTGGAAATGTGATGCTCCAGGGCAGCCTTGGTTGCAGCAATCATGACATGGTCGAATTTGAGATCCTCAGGACAGTGAGAAGAGCATGCAGCAAGCTCACTGCCCTGGACTTCAAGAGAGCAGACTTTGGCCTCTTCAAGAACCTGCTTAGTAAGGTTCCATGTGATATAGCCCTAGAGGGCAGGGGGGCCCAAGACTGTTGGTTGATATTCAAGGATCACCTGCTGCAAGCTCAGGAGTGTTGCATCCCAACTTAGAAGGAAGTGCAGCAGGAAGGCCAGGAGACCTCCTTGGATGGATAAGGAGCTGCTGAGGAATCTTTGAGGGGAAAAAAGAGGCTTATAAAAGGTGTAAGCGAGGATAGGCAGTCTGGGAGGAATACAGGGATATTGTCTGGGAAGCTAGGGACCACCTTAGGAAAGCTAAGGCCCAGTTAGAATTAAACTTGGCCGGGGATGTGAAAGATAACAAGAAGGGATTCCATAGGTACGTTGCAAATAAAAGACAGACTAGGGACAACGTGGGCCCTCTCTGGAAGCTATCAGGTGAACTGGCTACCCTGGATTTAGAGAAGGCTGAAGTTCTTAATGACTTCTTTGCCTCAGTCTTCACTGGCAAAGGCTCTGACCACACCACCCAAGTCTTGGAAGACAGATGCAGGGACTGTGAGAATGAAGACCTTGGGCCCACTGTAGGAGAGGATTTGGTTTGAGACCATCTTAAGAACCTGAAGGTACATAAGTCCATGGGACCTGATGAAATCCATCCGTGGGTCCTGAAAGAGCTAGGAAATTAAGTTGCTAAGCCACTGTCCATCATATTTGAGAAATCATGGCGGTCAGGTGAAGTTCCCTAGAACCGGAAAAAGGGAAATATAACCCCTTTTTCAAGAAGGGGAAAATGGATGACCTGGGGAATTACAGACCAGTCAGTCTCACCTCTGTGCCTGGCAAAATCTTGGAGCAGGTTCTCCTGGAAAGCATGCTAAGGCACATGAAGAACAAAAGGTGGTTGGTGACAGCCAACATGGCTTCACTAAGGGCAACTCCTGCCTGACCAATTTGGTGACCTTTTATGATGGGGCTACAGAACTGATGAATACGAGCAAAGCAGTTGACATCATCTACCTGGACTTGTGCAAAGCGTTCAACACTATCCAGCACAACATCCTTGTCTCTAAATTGGAGAGACATCAATTTGAAAGGTGGACTTCTCAGTGGATAAAGAACAGGCTGGATGGCCACACGCAAAGAGTTGTGGTCAATGGCTCAATGTCCAGCTAGAGACCCGTAATAAGTGGTGTCCCTCAGGGATCTGTGTTGGGAATGGTCTTGTTCAACATCTTTGTCGGTGTCCTGGGTTCAGCAATAGCAGTCGTTTTTCTCCTTCTTGGTGGCTGGTGCAGTGCTGTGTTTTTGACTTTCAGCCTGGGAGCAGCGCTGATAACACTGATGTTTTTGGTTGCTGCTTAGTAATGTTTAGTCTGACCAAGGACTTTCTGAGTCTCATGCTCTGCCAGGGAAGAGGGGAAGTCAGGATGAAGGAGGGACAGGACACCTGACCCAAACTAACCAAAGGGGTATTCCATACCACAACACGTCATGCTCACTATATAAACTGTGGGGCAGTTACCTGGAAGGGCTAGAGCGCTGCTCTGGTCACGCTGGGTATCGGTCAGTGGGTGGTGAGGTGTTGTATTCTCTTCCCTTGTTATTTCCCTTATCATTATTATTATTGGCTTATGACTGAACGCCTGTAAGTCATAATTGTAGAATTCTAGAATTAAACAGGTTGGAAAAGACCTTTAAGATCATCAAGTCCAACCATTACCCCACGACTGCCAAAACCACCACTAAGCCATGTCATTAAAGGCCTCATCTCAATGTTTTTTGAACACTTCCAGGGACAATGATTCCACCACTTCCCTGCGCCACCTGTTCCAATGCTTGATCACCTCTTGGTGAAGAAATTTTTCCTAATACCCAGACTAAGCCTCCCCATGCCCAGCTTGAGACATGTCATTATGAGATTAAAATGACGTTTGATGTTGTGCTGTTGCGTCATCACTCGCTTGTGATTGACCCAGGAGATGACAGTCTTGTTCAGAATGTGTGGGTAAAGCCCTTCCCGAATCTTCGTTAGCGAA